TTTCAGTTGATTCTGTAACTGCAGAACAAACGCCAAAGCAGATCTTGTTGTCTCTTAGAGCAGCTTTATAACAAGATTATTTGAAATTAGGTTTCTCTCACCCATAATAATAAATTAGTTTGATATATTTTGTTCTCTTTTGTATTTTTTGTTTACTAAAAGCGGTTTTATTTTTTAAATAAACGGATTTTATTATTTTGTTTGTATTGTGACTATACCAAATACATTCATAGGCTCAGAATGCATTTAAGAATATGCAATATGCAATATGTATACTCTGATATACAATTCAATAAACATATTTGCAAGAATACAATAATTTTACTTCTTTCGATAGGAACAATTGAGTTTCAACAGAATATTTTAAAAGTTAATATTCTGAAACACATATTCACCTGGATGTATAAGCATATGGGTATTTCTTTAACAAAGATTTGTCATATATTTGAAGGAAATTAGGTCGTGATATTTGTACAAACTCTATCGTTTGTGCCTTACTTCAAAAATTTAATTGCCATTTCTGTAAGTTTACAGCTCACAATTCATTGTATTTGTAGAGTATTGTTGCAGAAAGGTAAATGGATATTTAATGGTATAAATTAACATATTTTTTCGAAATATACGCGCAAGCGGAACGCGGTGTATCAGATGACAAATATTGAATACAATATTTATTTTGGAATTAATATAAATTTCCTTCACAAAACTTTAGATTCATATGAGGAATTTTATACAGTTTAGAACATCTTTATTTCGAAGTCGGACAGTTTTACTCCGGAAACTAATTGCAGTATTAATTACTTAATATTCGCAACTAATTTTTGTTTTGTTTATCCATTTCTGTTACTGTCACCTCTAGTTTCAGTGTATAAAATAGAACGTCATTTACTTCCTTATTTGCATTGACTCTGACGCTGGTATTATTTTTAGAGGGGGGGGGTTAACGCTGTATTTCAAAATTATATTGTAGATCGCAGTGTAAGAAGATCGCAAGGGACATACTTACACAGATATATGTGAAATTAGAGGACAAATCATTTTAACGCGCTAACTACACAGAAGTGCTTACGATGAAACACGAAACGCAATTATGTTTATTGCAGGAGGTCATGGCTTCGATTATAAATCGTATTGAAAATTTCACATTTCTCTCGAACTGTAGGTCAACTTAGTTTTTAACGACATAATTATGGATTTTACAAATGATTAACCGCGTGTTTTTTGTTTTTATCGGCACACATAACAGATGTATATGTCCCGATCATGCAGGTCGATATGTCATTGCAAATTACATAACATAACAGCGAATTTCAAGTATTTTACCTCCAGAAAAATGTATGCTTTTATGAACATTCTTTACCCAAATGTTTTTAAACAGTGATTAGTTTATATTTTTTAAAAATAAAATACTTGTCTCTTTCAGATTAATTTCTTTTTGATTCATGATAGAAATTTAATTACACCCCAAAAATTCAAGGTTTTCGATAATAAAATGTAATTTCTTAAACGATTATATTTCTAGTTAAATTTTTCTGTATCCTAAACCACATAGTCTGTAGTTACTATAGGATTCTGACGATGGTCTATAACACACTGATATGTTGGGTTTTTGGACTTTATCCATCGTCCTGGTTTTCAAGATAACAAATAACAAATCGTCCAGTGATTGAGGCTAGCTCTTTCTAACGGACCCAACTGAATAGGTGTTTTCCTTCACCTGAGGACTGAAACAGATCCAGTTTCCGAAACGTCGTGTTTTCATTTGTTATCTTAAAAACCAGGACGATGAATAAAGTCCAAAAACCCAACTTATCAGTGCACATAGTCTGTGTCTAGAAAATATTTAAGAAATTATACCCGATACTATATAAATATTGTGACATAACAACTAAAACCGCAATAATGGAGTCGGATCGGGTCGTCCGTTGCCAGACAATGGCTCGGTAAACGCCTGAAAGCCGGAGTAGTGAAGCCAGACAAGGGACTACCCATTTTGCTAGGCAACTGCGACCGTTCTGTTGTGCGTCTTTTATGAGCAAAAAGACTCAATGTAAAAGATATTCATAAAGACATATTTCATGTTTAAGTTGGGAAGTGTTTGTCTCGCATAGCATTTTGGTGGAAAACGTTTCGCTGATGACGAAGAGGTTGAAAGGTAGGTACAGAAGTGGCTGAGATAACAGTCAAAAACTTTCATGCTGTGTGTTTCGACGCACCGGTAAAGCGATGGGACAAGTGTATCAGGGTTGGTGGAGAACAGTCGAGAAATACGGGTTCCAATGTAACATGTTTTACGTCTTATATCCATTTGTGACGTGTTGGTCATACAATTAAGGAACATATTCATTATCGACTTGAAAGGATTCTGACGATGGTGTATACTGTACTTCTTTTGGCTTATTTTGGACTTCACCAATCGTCTGGTATCGTCAGTGATTGAGACTAGCTCTTTCTAAGGGGCCCAACTGAGTAGGTTTATCCTTCCCTAGCCACCTGAAGACGGAGACAGATCCAGTCTGCGAAACGTCGTGGTTTTTTGTCTTTTTCATACCAGACGATGGGTGAAGTCCAAAATACGCCAAAAGAAGTACATATTCATTATCCCTAGACTGATAGAGTTGTTCAGATGAACAGACTGCTTGTTGATAATAGCAGTATAGAAACCTGCACCTGTAATGCTAATCTCATACCTCATAAGAGCAAAACCACTAGCCCTAACAATTTTCTTGATGCCAGTGGTCGTAGTGACACTGGGGGCGGATAAACCACGCATCGTTACGAAAAATCATATTATATTCATCAGTCATCCCCACAGGATGAATATTATCGGCCATTTCTGGTGTTTTACTTTAGTAATACTGCTAACGAACGTTGCCAGTAGATGGCTTTCTAGTTGCTTCTAGTACAACAACCATTGCTTTGTTTCAGATGTGTAGCAAATTTGTGTCTGTCTGTCAACTAACATTAAGAGCAAGGAATTGTGTAGAATAGGCCATGGCGAGTTTCAGGTTCTGACTGAATATTGTGCTGATTCAAGTCATGTCGCTTCTCTGTGACCTGCTTATGAGTTCGCGACTTCATTTTGTCTTCAGAGTGAAAGGAATGGTTAAAAGGGTTCGTTTTCCATCCCTGAAGGACATTGGCTCAGCCTTGATAATAAAAATAAATGGAAATAATTTCCTATACGTTGCCTTTCGCAACAACCGTTGGAAAAGATGAAATCATACAACAATTTTAATTTGCTAATACAAATATTTCATACTAAATTTACATATATACAATATAGGGTATATTTTATATACAGTTTGTTTCATAAATTTGTTACTAATTTCACTTGGGGAAAAATATTTAAAATTGTCTCTTGTGTTAATATTTTCCAGTATTATCCTTTGTTTTCATAACGAAGGATAGTCAAAATTCTTCGTTCATTGCACACTACAAGTGCAAATGAAACATTTTTAGAATTTCTCCATGAAGTGGTAATGAATTCATGAAACGTTCTGTATGTTACAACAAAAAACATATGAACAAAAAGGAGATATAGCAGTATACACAATTCAAGGAATTATGACCTGACAATATCATGAATAATTCTTCTGTAACTCTTTGAGAGAGTAGCAGAGCCTACGTATAAGACGAATCTTCTGTACAAGTTCATTAATATATTTTAATGTTACTGTGTGCTGTACATTACGAAGTGTTGAATTCAGTTGGACGTTAAAATATGTCATTACAGTTTCTGCAGCAAAGTGACAGACAAATCATAGTTACTACGAAGTACTATCTGAATTTCTAGCAGTACGTACAACATTTGTTATTGTTATTTACAGTATTTAATGTAATTCAATTCAGTGTTTAAATTAAGCTCTTTATATTAATGGAGATTGTACTAATTAACACATCAGTTACAATAGACTTGGCCACTAGATAAACATCTCAGACGACACAATATGGTTAAATGCCTTCGATAGCATGTCCATAGATCCGCATAAGCTCTTTTTGAAAAATTCTGCCCTTAATTCCTTATATAAAATTTTATCAAAATGCGTCACTCAAAAAATAAACATTTTTCAGTACAGTCCTCGTAGGTTTGTGTGACGCAAACATTTGAAATCGTGCTGTGTTTTTTTAATAATCGACAATATAATTTATCAGCTCTTAAAACATCCCTAAAAATTTCACAGATATAATTAACATATGAAATTTTTACACGTTGCCTGTTGTAGGTAAATCTCTGAATTTTTGTTCGAGGAAGCTTTTATTAACAGTTCAGAAGTCAGTTGAATTTCAGTTTCTTACAATTCTACGGGATCTAAAGACCCCTGGCCCCGTCTCTGTGTGATTTAGCAAGTATCACTGTTGTCAGATGTGAGCCTCACAGAAACGCGTGTGATCACAAACTCAAGGAATTATAGCACGGCCAGGTTATTCTTGGCATGTCTGGCGAACATGTCACTGTCGGCCAACACTGTTCCGAGCGGAACTATGCTGGAGGATGATACCTGAGGTCACTCTCTCGTCGGAATTATAGTGTCAGGCCCGAAACAATAGCACTGGAGGCACTGCAACAGAGACAATCTCAACTTCTATTTCGGGCAGTATACGACTCCTATATTGAATTTAACAGAGGGCCTTGCTGTTGCACGGGCGGCTAGTCCCTGGCTTCCCACAGCTGTTGCGAATCAGGTTCCATCTCAGGACAAGTGATGTGAGATTTGTGGTGGAAAATATGATCATGTGCAGGAGTTTCTCCAAGTACTTTGCTTCCCCTGCAAATTTTAATTGTACCAGCGGTTCATTCATTGATCATCCTGTCCGATGGCACATGTCTTAATATTGTCTGCAGCCAACTGTTCACGCTGATTTTTCGCTCGTGGATTTTTAATTATTTTTACTCTGAAGATGGAGGCCGTAAGTTCCTCCTAAACGTCGGTTTATACAATATCTACACAGCGTCACATCCCAGAAGATAGCATGTTACATAGTCATCGCCGTGAATATCTCAGATCTTACATAATACTGAAAACCTCGTTAAATAAAAGAAAGATCTACCTAAAACAGGCAGTAATTTCATCCTTCTATGAAATCCTTCTAACAGAAATCTTTTCTTCCCTTAATGCAATATCTGTGAATAGAAAAATCACTTCGCGTGTAAAGCGCTGTAAGTTTCAGCATACCGAGGCTGTTACACGTAATATTTTTCCTTATAGCTTTATAACATTAAATTACGTCCTCTAATTGACCTTCGTTTACTTCTATAACGTCGCTAACATTTTGGGCTATACCTCCACTCCCAGAGGAATCTCTTGTGCCTCCCCCGTTCGATCTTAGATGATTATTCATGTGGATCTCCGAAGATGCATTGCTGTTGGATATATCTCGCCTCGTGGCATATTCCCCGTCCCTTAGACCATTCTCGCCGCGTCTCCTGCACAAGTTCATGCAAAACCTGTTTCTGCTACGCGACCTGACGAGCAGGATGTGGTAACAACAGGACTGGAGTGTTTTCTTGAAGGCCGCTCTGAATTCTCGGTTGAAGTACGCGTAGATCAGAGGGTTGAGCGCGGAGTTGAAGTACCCTATCCAGAAGACCGTGGCTACCACCACAGGAGGGCAGTAACACACCTTGTCTCCGCACAAGGTCGTGATGATGTACCTGTAACGGAAACAGACGTTTTCTTAAACAAAATTTCACACGGGACGTTTCGGTCAAGTGGGTACCGAGCCTGTTTCGTATTCACGTAGTCATGGGTTCAGATTTTGGTGCGGACACAGGCTAACTTAATAATTTTAACTCATAGTAGCGTTAAAATTGATAATGAATGGAACTTTTCAACCATTTTCTCAAAACGCCTTAATGGAGTTGTGTTTAAGCGGACGGTGCCATAGTTCAGGCGGCTTCATAACACATTGGCCTGGCTCCATAACGTGAATTTTTGCTGGACAAAATGGCACTGGGGTAAAACCTTCCCGATAACTTCGGTTTCCCCCTGCCAGTTACAATTCTACCAATGCTTGATACTTATGCGAGGCATAGCAGAAGCAGGACCGCGAGACTAAGCTCATAAACTGCTTTAATGTGGCGTATAGACCCGTTGCTAGGCGATAAATCAGTAAACAGAAACTGTTACTACGTAACGTACGGTAAACACGTTCCTGTTGCTAGGTTATAGATTCTTAATAATGCAACGGTTTGAATACAACAATGGAAACGAGGCGTTTCTACGTGGTCCGTTCCGAGATGTTACAAGGAAAGGAAAAAGCCAGTTGAAAGTGATTTTCATACGGGAGGCTGTGAAGAGAGGATCTGAGCGCGGGAAGCTGAAGAATCCAAACTGTTAGGACCCGTTGCCAGGGAACGGCTGGTGAAGGCACAGCGGACTGTAAAAGGCATAGCGGATGCTGTGGCGATTAGCGTCGGCGCTGTAATTGCTTGTAGTTCCAAGTCGTATTTATAAGTTGTGAATAAATCCGTTCACCAGTTGAAACCCCTTCTACAGTCACACACATACTACGTGACAATATTAAGGTACATTGTAGTTGACAGCAGTTCGTAGAATGAGGTCAGTGGGGGGTATGTCGCAAGTCTGCGCTTGTCGTGAGCCCAACAAATCAATTCAAAAAACTCGCGCTCTCTTACCTTGAGATCTGTCGCATCGATACCAAATTTACTACCGTATTTACGCATGTATAGGCCGCACATTTTTTGCCAAAAATTCAAGAGGAAAACTGGGGTGCGGCTTATATTCGAAATATTCGAAATCACACTTCATTTAAAAAAATTGTATTCATAATTACGAGTAATTACGTAGTAATACAGGATGTTCTACTCCTGAAATAATATTCCAAGAAAATTATTTTTTTCTATAATTTCTGTCTGAAAATTGTGCTGCGGCCTATACACGCGTAAATACGGTAGTTCACGTTTAAATTCCCACAGTACAATGCAGATCTACATTGGGGCTACAGCACTTTGGCAAATACTGTACCAGCCACTCATGACAGATGAGTATGGAATACTGATGGATTGATAATTGACAGGGACAAGCCGAAGGGGTCAGACACAAACCTACCCCAGTACCTCTTTGTCCAGCACAAATTCCACAAGAGCTGACCTGGGACTCGACATGTGAGGTGAGAAGCCACCTGCGCTATTGATTGGCTTTCTCAAGCGTGACTCCATGAAGGGGTTTGAGAGTGTGAAATTCCATTCATTCTTCATTTTTACACAGAACTAGTCTTTCGCTCCGAGCGCTTTACCCTAATCTGAACACTCTAATAATATCCACTGGGTATGAGACAGTGGGATTTCGATGGTTTGGACACGGTCTCGAAATGTTTGACGTTGCCGGGAAGCGAAACCCATTATTATTATTATTATTATCATCATCATCTCTTGTCACAGGTTTATTTCCTGGTATTCCTTTGCTTGGACCAGTGATGCACCTCACCACTCAGGCTTCAAGCTTCGCACTGTAGCACTTTCCGTAGTATGTGTGATGTTCCCAGGATAGCTGTTTTTTGCAGTGAATCTATGGAGTGTTTACCAGGAATTAGTTCCAAATGTTTCCTCAGCCCTCTGGTAACTGTACCCGTGGCTCCAATAATCACTGGTATCACAAAACATTTCACATTCCACATTCGCTGAATTTCGATGCTTAAATTTTTGTATTTTAAT